AGTCTGCAAAGGAGCAGGCTTCCTGGTGAGATTTCCAGCACTTATTTCTGCAAGGCAGGCTGCAAAAACATCCAGAACGCTTGGAATTTCAGCCCTCCCACTTCTGATCATGTGGAACATGGGCGAGAAATAGCATGGTAAGTGCCAGGGTGCTGGGGCACTACCAGTACACAAGGAGTTAACCTCAGCTCAGTTTTTGGCTCCCCTTGTACATGTGCTTAAGGATCACCGGACACTCGGGAGAAGGCAGCCTTTGAGAAGGTCAGGCTCCAACATCCAGGGTCTTGGGACAGGGTTGAATTCCAAGCTGGGGACTCTTCTTATGTTGCTTGCTTGTTATAGACATGATTCCTCAAGGAAAAGACCTTCTTGACTTAGCAGAAATTTTTTTCAGCTAAGTCACCCTGCCATAATAATAATACCTAGCTTGTATAGCAGTTTTAATCAGTAGGTCACAAAGTGCTTTACAAATGGGAGCACATTATCCCCATTTTACAGGTGGGGAAACTGAGGCACAGAGATGGGACGGGACCTGCCCAAGATGGGCCAGCAGGCCAGGCTAGGAATAGAACTCGGGTCTCCTGAGTTTCAGTCAGTGATATATCCAGTAAGTCAAACTGCCTCACTTAGGCAAACTTCTTCAGCTCTCCCCCGAAAGGCTTTGCTTGTGTTTTGGCCAAAGTTTCAAGTAATTTCTTACTATATCTGAATGGGTTCACTTGTCCCATATGACCATCCCAACCTGGACTTCTGTGATATTCACGTGTGTTGATCAGGCATCTTAAAAATAGGGGTAGGCAAGGCAACAGCACAGCTCTAGTAGCCCAGTGAAAGAATACGGCTGTATATCGGAATCTGATTTTTGTATCACTGCTTTGTTTGTTTCCAGTGTATTTAGAAATTATACTTATTGTTAAACACCCAGCTTTGAATGGAAGAGCTTTGGGGGAGTGAGAGGTGAGAGTAGCAGACATGCCCTGAGGGGAACTGAGTAATTGTACAGATAAAAGCTAGAACACACCGTATTACCATCAGTCTAAAACAACAGAAAGCATTTTTGTTGGACGGCTATAATATTCTGTTAAGTGGAAGTTTCTGCAGTGATGTCACTGCAGAGTGAGTTACCGCTGCAGTGCAGTGGGACAAGATTCCTCACTTGACTAGTGAGAATTCTTGCCTGGCGCCTCCTGGGCTGCCTGTCTAGTCAGCGCAAAGCTACTTACACCAGCTACTAAAACCAGGAAATGCATCGGCCGTCAGCCTTGAAGACTGAAAGATGCTGCTTTCATTTCAGGCTGCTCACCCAGTATGTGTACCTCTCTTCTTATGATGCATGTGTCTCCCCCACTCCTGACTTTATGCTTTATGTTTTGTCATTTTGCCCCTTATGCTCTGGGGGACATGTTTCCACTTCCCAGTCATCAAAAAACCTCACCCAGCCCAATTTCAAATCCCTCTGTTAATTCTTTAACTCAGCCTTCCGGCACTGCATCCCTGTCATAGGCGCTATCTGCTCCCTGCTGCCGTATTTCACCTCAGTCATTTGTAGAGATGAGTGGGAAAGGGGCTGTTTTGTGAACAAATTGCGATTTTTTTTTTCAATTTATTTAAATATTTGGAATTTTCTGGTGTTTTTGGTTTTATTTATTGAAAAAAAATGTTTGTTTTGTTTCTCTTCCCTTCTTTCTCTCCTCCCCACTCCTCTGCTCCAGGGCAAAATGGGTGGGGAGGGAAGGAAATGAGAGAGAAAAATGTGATGGTGGTGGGAGTGTTTTGTATTTGTCCAGAAATCAGTAAATTTAAAATACACACAAACTTTTGTTTTTGAAAAAGCCCTTTTTTTGTTGTTTTTTGAAAAGCTGTCTGGAATGAAAAGTGTTGATCATTTGTATTGTACCTGTCTAAATTGCAAGTTCCTCCAGGCAGGGACCTAGTCCTGTGTGTTTGCAGAGAGCCCTGGGCATCAGTAGCCTGGCATAAATGGCCTATTCTCACTTGTCCTCCCAAACCCGAACGCTTGCACAAAGCAGCATCTGTGAAGGCTGCCTGAAGAGAAGCTCTCCCACTTGATGTTTGAACCAGCTCCTTTTGTGCTATTACTTCTAGGGCTGGTCAGGGATTCTTCTAGAATGAATAAAGTGTTTTCTCAAAATTGAAATTTTCTGTGGGAAATTTTCAGTTTTGCAAAAAATTTCATTTTCCACTGGGAAAGTCGAAATGATGGCTGCCTGGAAGGCTCTTGTCGGTTTCACTTTCTGTCTGAAGGATGTTGGCAGATGCTGAACACCCTGGCTCTTTGCCTTCCTGCCTCTCCCCCAGCTCTGGGGCCAGAGATGCAGAGAGCCCAGGCTGCTCTGTGAGTCTCCCAAAGTGGAATTGTTCTTGAAATCGCTTCCCAGTAAAATGTTTGTGATTTTAACATTTTATCACAGTTCAAGACTTTTCACATTGTTGGGGAAAAAAATTGTTTTTTTTTCCTGGGAAGGGATTTCTGTTTTCTGGCCAGCTCTCGTTATTTCCCCAGCCAAGTCCTGGCCTCGGTGGATACCTCAGCGTTCAGTGACCTGGCTTCGAAGTTACTCTGCTCACTCACCTTTCATTTTCCAGGCTGCAGTGCGATTGTCAGCACAACACCTGTGGCGGCTCATGTGATCGTTGCTGCCCGGGCTTCAACCAGTTACCTTGGAAACCAGCTACGACTGACAGCGCTAATGAATGCCAACGTAGGTTGTTGTGGGCTGGGTTTTTCCCTTTTTTGTTTTTTTCTAGCTGTTTAGGGGGTTGGAAAACATGGAATGAACAAACTCCGCTGCCCCCACATGTGGGAAGCTTTGCGGTCGGCCCCAAAGCTCTGCCATAGAATCCCATTCCTAAAGCTTCGTGCTTGAGGAAGGAATCCATAGCAAAGTCCCTCTTGGAGCCCCTGATGGGGCCTTGCATTAAATCTCCCTCTGCAGGCATTATGGGCAGTCTCTCTTTTGGTCCTTGGTGAGAATTCAGTGCTCCTGTAAATGGCTGGATTGTCAGCATTGGAAGGTAAAGTCCTTTATCTATAGAACATCTAGCACGATCAGGGGAGCTGCTAGCGATCCTTACACTGCTCCACCAATGAACCGCAATCCTGACCTGGAAGGATCCCCTGTAGAGGGGTTAGACTGCATTTCTTCTGGGGTGACTGGCAGCAAAGCTGTTGATTGTAGTGTTGTTTTTGTGACTTGTTCCCCTCTTCACTGGGGACTGGACTGAGATCACTAAGCCATTTCAGACAAGCCCCTGGGTGGTAACAACTTTTGCTCCCTGCAGACCCTGATTGGGACTTGAATCGGTGATTTAGAAGTGAAAGCGGCCATAATTCCGTTGAAAGGGTATCCTATACCATTGCCGGGTTTTACAGTCTCATTACCAGTCCTTCAAACCATCATATGGGCACCCTGCATTTTAGTACCAGACTTAGTGAACGTAACTAGAAGTATAGGAAGAGGGGCGGTCTGTGTTGTGGATTATTCTGTTTTGTGAAGGCTTCTACAATGATATCCGCTTAATCTGTACTGAGTGCTAATTCTGGTCCCCTTCCTGCCTCTGTCCTAAACTTTGTACAATAAACCTGATTGCTCGGTCCTGCTCTGAAGATAAATTGCTTTCAGATCTACTTACATCTTTATTTGGATAGCCAGAACCCTCCAGTAGATGCCAACACTGGAATTCATGCTGGGCTGGGATCTCATAAATGTAGGGACTCTGCAGTGGGCTGTTGGATCTTGCTTCCATGGATTTTAAAAAAACAACAACCCCCCCAACACTCTCTCACCATGTGTTTGAACTTCATGGCTCAGCCACTCTCTGATTGGATAACATTGAGAACTGGCCTGCATGTACGCTCCAAACAACTTTGGAGGCCCCAAAGTTTAGATAACTTGCCTTTCTCCCCTCCCACCATGCTCGGGCTCGCCTTTTTTCATTTTGTGCCTTGATGTTTTCTGGTTGCAGAAAATGCCAAAGCCCTGCTAGAATGCCTGTTCTCCCTAGGCGTCCAGCCTTGATTTGCAGACTGGAGACATCTGAAAGCTTGAGTGATTAACTGATCCTTCAGCCCCTTTTGCACTTCATTCCTCATTTAAATGGAACCCCCATGCAATACAGACTTATTCAGCCCCTCTCAACCCTTCACCAGGGAGTTGAAATACATCAGTTAATTGTTTCATTGGAGAATGGTGATCAATAACCCAGAGGAACATACCTGCTGAGCTCCTGTCTCTTTATACTTTCAGCTTGCAATTGCAATGGTCATGCCTACGACTGCTACTATGATCCAGAGGTCGATCGCCACAAGGCCAGCAAAAATTATGACAACCAGTATAAAGGGGGAGGTGTCTGCATAGAATGTCAGGTACGCCCGGGGGGAGGGAATTTCACGTTGTTGTTGTAACATGATGGGCTTTCAGGTGTCCTGTTTCCTGTGGCTGCATTATTAGCCTGAATTGTAGTTCTGCATTGCGGGCAACAAGCAAATCAGGAGCTCTCATGTTTTCTATTAGTTTCCCAGAAAATCTGGGCTCTTGGCATCAGGGTAAAGGCGCATGCACCAGTGGCAGGAGTGGTGGGGTAGTTCATGGGCAGCTGTCTGTTAGCGTAACCTTGGAAATGCATGGCTAACAGTGGGATTTTCATACGCCCTGGGCATCGGCCTTACTCCACTTCCATTGAACTCAATGGGAGTTTGACCACTGACTTCAAATGGGAGCAGAATTAGGCCAATTCTAGTGCTTTTGAAAAATCCCATCCCAATTTACAGGGCCCAAATACTATCACTTGTCTGTCACTGCTTAAGCATCGGTGCCGTGCTGCTCTCCCTACTCTCTCAGCACCTAACTAAAGTCTTGCCATGGTGAAGCAAAAGCCCTTTGACTTGTTAGTTTCATAGCAAGTACCATATAGTGGCATAGTACCATATAGTGGCATGGGACTTGTGTAGTGCATGACTAGCCGTGCTTTTACAAAATGGGTTACTTCTGTCTTCCTGAATGCAAGGCAACTGGGAAACTTTGTTAACAAACCCTGAAGCCAAAATGTAGAGCTAGGTTTGTAGCCAGACTAGGTTTGGTGGAGGATTCACAAGGACTGAGTTTCAACCCAACATGAGTGGACTTTTGAGCAATCTTTGTTCTTTCCTTTATTTACTTTCTTAATATTACCCTGTCATGAAGCTACCTGGTACTACAGTCTGGTAGATGACCACGTTTTCCTTCCTGATGGGCAGAGTAACTGATGCCCTCCTATTCAACTGTTTTTCAGCATCATACCACTGGCATCAACTGTGAGAGGTGCATCCCTGGATACTATAAATCCCCTGACCATTCGATAGACTCGCCCTACATTTGTTACCGTGAGTATGGGCTGCCCTGCAGGCTAGAGACGCAGCTTCTAGACTTTCATTTAACAGCTGGAGGAGAGCAGCCCACGCTGTCGAACGGTGGAGTGTTTGGTACTGTGGATCATCAGGGGCTGATTGTCCAGCCAGCCTTAAAAAGTGCATAGCCATCTGTCTTGCATGCACAAACAGCCATTGGCTTGTGCAGAAGGAGTGTGTGTCTGTTGTTGCAATCAGCCGTGGATGCATGTTCAAAGGCCTGAAAGGGGTGGAAATGTGGCCCCATCTGACCCAGTAGGGGATGACTTTCCAAAGCAGGAGATGCTCACGCACATCTCTATGGGAAACCCAGATCATTCTGGCAGTCTTGGTGGGTTTAGTTCTGCCACCTCGTTTGGTGGCTTTTGCCATGTTCACCAGAGCCTGCCCTAGCTGTAATGCAGCCAGAATTGCTATCCTCTCGGAAGCAAGACTGTGAGGGGCAGAGCCCAGCTTTTTGCAGCCTCCCGTCAGATCCTGCAATGCAGCAGCAACAGCTCCGCCAAGCTTGAACCATTTTAAAGAGACAGACACACCTTTTATTTTTGAAAGGGACTGCACAGTATGTATCTAAAACTTTCTGGCTGTGCTGCTAGCCTGGCTGTTGCAATTAGAAATCTCTTGTGTGAACACAGATTGGGAAATAAGGGTCTCTCTCTCTCTCAGTAAAGGGAGCTCCCAGTGACTGCTCTCTCCCTGCAGGTTGTAACTGTGACTCGGAGTTCACCGATGGCACCTGTGAAGACCTCACGGGTCGCTGTTACTGCAAGCCAAATTACACCGGGGAGCTCTGCAGTGCATGTGCAGAGGGATACAGAGACTTCCCACACTGCTATCGTAAGTGCCATGTTCGCATGGGAGGGCTGTCAATGGGGACGTGTGGGAACTAAAACTCCTCGGCTCCTGGTTCGTCAGAAACAAGGATTGAAACCCTGTTTGTGCAAAGAGGCTGCCAGGAAGCCTAAAATTAGAGCTGCCAACTTTGCAGACCATGCGTGGGCATCACCCCTCTCTCCCTGTGCTGTTGTCAGCAAGCAGCACATTGTTCTCACATCAGCGGCACCTGAAATTGCAGACCAACCCACACCATGCTTTGGCAGGGAAGCTGGGGATTAGTGGGCAGTGGAGTCCTTGGGCTAAATCCTGGATCTCCAGCCCTCATTCTTCAAGTTGGGAAGAAGGCGACGTTTCGGGATCCAGAAGGAATGTTGATCACGTGTTGATGATTTGTTTTTAAGTCGCTTCGGTTTTGGGCCAGTCCCAGTGTGGGGCTCGAACTGAGCACAGAAGTAATGTTTGCAATGGTTCTTTTTCCCCACAGCTGTTCCAACTTTCTCTCACAATGATACTGGAGAACAGGTGCTTCCGGCTGCACAGATAATAAGTAAGCCCTGCAGTTTTCCTTATCTCTTTTTGAGTTCATTCCATATACTGCAATTTATAATTATGATTATTAGTGTTCGTTATCATTGTAACACATAGGCCCCAGCTGAGACCAGGGTCCCTCTCTGGTAGGTCCCGAAGAGTCGTGTTGGCTCAGAGAGTTTACAGTTGCAATTGGCACGGCAAAGGGAGGGAGAAGGGAAATAATATGATTCCTGTCTTACAGGCGGGGGAATAGAGGCACAGAGCGGTTTTGGGCTTCATGCAAGAGTCTCTGGGGGAAGTTCTTTGGGCCGTGTTATGCAGGAGGTCAGATCAGACGGTCATAATGGTCCACTCTGGCCTTAAAATCTATGATTGCGGGACCTGTCAAAGGTCACAGGGAATCTGTGGCAGAGCTGGAAACTGAGCCCGGTGCTCCTCATGCCTTAGCCACAAGACCATCCCTTTCCTCCATCTGCGCGTACTAATTTTCCTAGGCATCAGGGGAGCTTCTAAACCCTCTGTGCCAACACCTTCCACTGCTGCAAATCTGCCTTGTGGGGCATGTGCCTCTAGTCTGAATGCGACCACGGTAGTTTAATTCTTGGCAGCAAACTTTGTAAAATCACTCGTTGTCTCTCTTGCATCTGCACTTGTATCCTTTCCCTTCCTCTCCCTCCAGCCTCTCTCTGGTAGAATTCTAACCCCTCAAGCTCATGACTCATCTCCCCCGTCTTTTTGGGACTCTCTGCTTTTCCCACAGACTTCTCCATTGTTTCACGTTTACTCCAGATAACCTTTTTCTTCCCTCTGATATTTTAATCTCTGTTGTTTTCCAGGCAGGTTTTTCTTTGCTGAGCTGGAATCTCTCTTTCCCTCTGGTTCCCACCCCTTCCCCACTTCTGCCTCCCTCTCCTCATCTCCTCTCTTGCCCACCCCCTTTTCCTGGACCAGGGAGACCAAGGTACCAAGAGACTGAGCTCTGCTGGGTTAGCGCTCTCGTGCATCCCAGCTCTGTGGAACTCTGGAGTGCTGTTCAGCCTCGGGGTTAGCAGAGTACACCGTATAACTGGGGGGATGCTGCTGTGAGCCAGCCATTGAAACCTGATGGAGCAGCTGCCTTGATTATCTGAAGGTTTAGGTTTCAGAGTAGCAGCTGTGTTAGTCTGTATCCACAGAAAGAACAGGAGTACTTGTGGCACCTTAGAGACTAACAAATTTATTAGAGCATAAGCTTTCATGGGCTACAGCCCACTTCTTCGGATGTATAGAATGGAATATATAGTAAGAAGATACACCTCTACCCTAATATAATGCGACCCGATATAACAGCGCTCCGGGGGGGAGCAGGGCTACACACTCCGGTGGATCAAAGCAAGTTCGATAGAACGCGATTTCATCTATAACGCGGTAAGATTTTTTGGCTCCCGAGGACAGCGTTATATCGGGGTAGAGGTCTATATATACATACAGAGAACATGAAAAGGTGGAAGTTGCTATACCAACTCTAAGAGGCTAATTAATTAAGATGAGCTATTATCAGCAGGAGAAAAAAAACTTTTGTAGTGATAATCAAGATGGCCCATTTCAGACAGTTGACAAGAAGGTTGGGGATACTTAACATGGGGAAATAGATTCAATTTGTGTAATGACTCAGCCACTCCCAGTCTCTATTCAAGCCCAAGTTAATGGTATCTAGTTTGCAAATTAATTCCAGTTCAGCAGTTTCTCATCGGAGTCTGTTTTTGAAGCTTTTCTGTTGCAAAATTGCCACCTTTAAGTCTGTTACTGAGTGACCAGGGAGGTTGAAGTGTTCTCCTACTGGTTTTTGAATGTTATGATTCCTGATGTCAAATTTGTGTCCATTTATTCTTTTGTCGTAGAGACTGTCCGGTTT